AAAAAAAAAAAAAAGAGAGAGAGAATAGAGATATATCTTCATAGGATTCGTGCCAGCCGGCCCAGCTACATGTGCATGGTTAAAAAAATATCAAACAATTTTATTTCCTTTATTATTGCCCACACCTATTGACTGATTTTCGTTCATTGGATTCCAATTTCATTAAATACTAAACATTTATGATATAACCACATGTTATATTGAAGACCATATTTATTAATATCATAAGGAAATCAATTTACACCACATATATGGAGCCAAACAAAAGCAATTTGAACTTACTGGCGGGGTTCCAATTTTTTCAAAATTTCACAAATTTCAGTGTAAGTTTGTCTAACAGTTAAGCGAGTCGATCTGTCATATATCGTACCATAAGAGTTACCTTTCTCATGTTTTGCAGATAACGATAATATTTTTTACCGTTTCAGAGTCTCTGAATTCCTACTTTCTTACAATTTGTGTTCAAGTGTGTTTTTTAAAAGTTTGGTTTTGTTATGGTAATCTTGTTTAGAATATTTGTTCACTATTTTTCAACTTAATTCCTACTTTATGCTAAGGATGATTATAGATTTATGAGATAAATATTACTACCAAATGATTAAAATAGTCAACATAATACCAACAAGGGTTGACTCAAGTGGTAAGCAGCTTGATGTCGCTTAAGCAAGGTCTCGGGTTCGAGTCATTGTGGATGCAGAAAATCCTTATTGGGAGACTCATCCACCACTGCCAGGTGTGCGACCCGGGTCAACCAACGGATTAGTCGGGGCATAGCTCCGGATACCGTGACTGGCTACCAAAAAAAAAATAGTCAACATAATATTTAATAGAAATGACAGTGGTGTTCTATCAATTTACCAACCCTATTTACTGTGTGTGTAGGTGACAAAAAGGATAAGATAATGGTAACAATTATTGGGCAAAATACTTAAGAAATAGTATACTATAGTAGGGAGAGATGCTTCCTAGAAAGAAACAATAAGAGTGAAAATGATAACATTTGCTGAGGGAATCCAATGAAAAATACTATCTAACTTTGAAAAAAATGCATAAATAAATTCAAATAAAAAATATTCATTTAATTAATTATCTGAACAACCATATATATGGTTACAGCTTTATATAAATCTTAAAATTCCTCTGCTTTTGCCTTTATGTTCAGTGTTAACTAACTATCTCTGATTCATCATGATCCCAAGATAAGCTAGTTTAAATCTGCAAATTAAACCCTATTAATCCTGGCTTTTAAATTTTCCTTAAGCACATCTTTAATTAATTAAACAATTTTATAAAAAAAAAAAATGAAAAAGAAAACTAAAAAGAAGTTAATTACTTTTGCTCATGCCTGATCATGTTATATAAATATTGTGCCTTTTTTCATCACTAAGAAAAAGGGGGAGTTATTGTACCAAAAAAAAAAAAAAGAAAAAGGGGGAGTTGGTTACTATTAATACTAATTTTCTATTTGTTTGTTTTACTCAAATATTTATCAAAAGTTTGTTAATTCAATCTTATCAAATCTGTTAATTAAAGTGTTGACTATAATGCACCTTGTCATGATGTAAGCTTCATAGTGGATTGTTTGGGGAAGAGATGGAGAGGAAAAAATCCATACGGAATTGAATGATATATGATACTCTAAGTACTAGTTGGAAGACGCTACCGTCTCGTTACGGAACCATTTCGTCAGAGTTTGTAACCGTTAAATTAATTATCTCTGATGATAACATGAAACCCCGATAGAATGGTACCGTAACGGGATCTTAGCATTTCCGTTAATTATTAGTCGTGCAAAGAATTAGTATGTTATTAGTAACAAAAAGTGGAAACCATTTTTTTTTTCTTCTACAACATATGACATATCATACATACAAATACTATAAAAAAGTGTGATAATTGTGATGTATGGTTTGACAGTCTTAAAATTGTACAAGTATTTTTATAAAATAAAATTTTTTATTGCAGTGGTATTACATATTTTTATTTACTTTTTGCTGGGAGTAAGAAAAGTTCTTTAGTTAATAAGTATATAAGAATCTATTTATTTTATTTTATGATGGTTAAATCAAATAACATTATTCTTATTTTCCATCACCAATTGAATATAAATTAGGGATATGTTACGGTCCCGTTACGGAACCATTCCATCAAAATTTGTAACTGTTTGATGAACTATTTTCCACGGTTACATGATGATCTAACAATTACAAACTCGACGAAATAATTCTGTAACGAGACCGTATTATTTTCCTATAAAATATAAGTCATTTTAATCTTAGTAGAGATTTTTTTTAATTAAATACTCTCTCTCTCTCTCTC